CAGGTACTGGTGATTATGCGTGGCGTGTTTTTGAAGAGATAGAGAATAAGAATTCAGTATCTTGCAATTCTATTATTTCAGTTTACTCTCAGCGAGATGCAGTTTCTGTGTTTCAGCTCTTCTCTGATATGCAAAAAGAGGATCTGGGGTTTATTTTTAAGCCTACTGAGTTCACTTTTGGCAGCTTAATTACAGCTGCTGCTAGTCATGTTAATTGTGGTTTGTTTTTGCTGAAGCAGCTACTGGCTAAAATAGAAAAGTCTGGACTTCTGAAAGACTTGTATGTGGGAAGTGCTCTGGTAAGTGGTTTTGGAAGGTTTGGGTGTCTCGATAATGCTATGAAGGTTTTTAAACAGATGGGTACAAGGAATGCAGTGTCCATGAACGGGCTGATGGTCGGATTGGTGAGACTTGGTCAAGGAGAAGTCGCGACCAAGTTTTTTATGGAGATGAGAGACTTGGTTAAAATCAATTCTGATTCATTCGTTGTTCTTTTCGGTGCTTTTCATGAATTCTCTTTGTTGGAAGAAGGGAGAAAAAGAGGTAGAGAGCTACATGGCTATGTTATCCGAACTGGTTTGCGCGACTCCAAGGCTGCTATTGGAAATGCTCTGATTAATATGTATTCTAAATTTGGTGAAATACAGATTGCTCGTTCTGTTTTTGAGACCATGCTTGATAAGGATTCAGTATCATGGAACTCTATGATCTCCGCTCTAGATCAAAATGATTATTTTGAAGATGCAATATCAATCTTCCAGATGATGAGAAGAACAGGTCTGATGGCGTCAAATTACTCATTGATAAGTTCTTTGAGTTCTTGTGGAAACCTGAATTGGATAAGATTTGGGGAACAACTGCACAGTGAAGGGGTAAAGTTAGGACTAGATTTTGATGTTTCAGTGTCTAATGCTCTTCTTGCTTTATATGCTGACACTGGATGTGTGGCTGAATGCAAGAAATTGTTTACCTTGATGCCAGAATATGATCTAGTTTCCTGGAATACCATTATCGGTGCATTAGGTGATTCTGAGACATCTATTTCTGAAGCTATAGAGTACTTCATACAGATGATGCGTGCTGGATGGAGTCTCAACAATGTGACGTTTATAAATATTCTTTCAGCAATATCACCTCTTTCTCTTCTTGGTCTTCGTCAAATCCACGCGCTGGTGCTAAAATATAGAGGAATGGATGCTAATGCTATTGAAAATTCATTTCTTGCTTGCTATGGTAAGTGCGGGGAAATGGATGACTGTGAGAACATATTCTCTCGGATGTCTGAAAGGAAGGATGATATGAGTTGGAACCTAATGATCTCTGGATATTTACACAATGAGGTTTTACCAAAAGCCATGGATTTAATCTGGCTTATGCTGCACAAGGGTCAGAAATTAGATGGCTTCACATTTGCCTCTGTTCTCAGTGCATGTGCCTCAATTGCAACATTGGAGCATGGAATGGAAGTTCATGCTTGTGCGATTAGATCCTGTTTGGAATCTGACACTATTGTTGGGAGTGCTCTTGTTGACATGTATGCCAAATGTGGAAGAATAGATTATGCATCAAGGTTTTTTGAGTTAATGCCTCTACGAAATATATATTCATGGAACTCAATGATTTCTGGTTATGCACGGCATGGACATGGACATAAAGCACTAGAGCTTTTTACAAAAATGAAGCTGGAAGGTCAAACACCTGACCATGTTACATTTGTTGGTGTCTTATCAGCTTGTAGCCACGTGGGATTTGTTGAGCAGGGCAAGGATTACTTCGATTCCATGAGCAAACAATATGGTCTGACACCTCGGATTGAGCATTTCTCATGTATGGTTGATATCCTGGGACGAGCAGGTGAGATGGATAAATTGGAGGACTTCATCAATAAAATGCCATTAAAGCCCAATACACTCATTTGGAGGACTGTGCTTGGAGCCTGTGGTCGAGCAGGGAGTCGTAAAACAGATCTAGGTAGGAAAGCTGCTCACGTACTCTTAGAGTTGGAACCTCATAATGCTGTGAACTATGTGCTTCTTGCAAATATGTATGCTTCGGGAGGGAAATGGGAGGATGTGGCAGAGGCTCGGCGTGCAATGCGAGAAGCTACGGCGAGGAAAGAAGCTGGATGCAGCTGGGTTAACATGAGAGACGGTGTTCATGCTTTTGTGGCCGGTGATCACTCACATCCAGATAAAGACGCAATTTATGAAAAACTTACGGAATTGCACAAGAAGATTAGGGATGCAGGGTATGTGCCACAAATTAAATATGCCTTGTATGATCTTGAACTGGAGAATAAGGAAGAACTCCTCAGCTATCATAGCGAGAGACTTGCAGTTGCCTTTGTTCTTACACGGAAATCAGATATGCCAATAAGAATAATGAAAAACCTCCGAGTTTGTGGGGACTGTCACTCCGCCTTCAAATACATATCACAAGTTGTTGGGAGACAAATAGTATTACGAGACTCCAACAGATTTCATCATTTTTCTGATGGAAAGTGTTCATGTAACGATTACTGGTGACAGATCAAATGTTGTTTAACTTGGAGAAATGGATGCTGCTTAATGAAGCATTAAACCAATGGAAAAGGTTCAAGCATATCATGTCTGAAGTATGGGGAGGGAAGTAGTTAGTGTGTAAGGGTGTTGCATCAAGGATTCTGCTGAGCACCTCGACATGAAGTTACTAAAGTGTGCCATAATTTTGTATTACTTGCCATATTTCTTAAATATTTTATGGCGTGAATCAGCTAGAATGACAGTAAATACACCATGAAATCAAAGGAGCATGAAGAAGGTAAGGAGAATTAAGCATATCAAACCCACTGTAAAACTGTATCCAAGTTTTTGGTAGACAAGTTATTATAAAGACTCCTGCTGATTCATTGTTTTGTGCACCCAAGTGAGTGACTTAATGGTCAATGAAGTTGGAAAGAGCCTTGGCAGATCAGGGTTCAAAACTTCAAATACCAGCAGAAGCAAAAAATAATGATAGATGATTTCTTCTTATCTATCTAAGCTTGGCGGACAGAGTTACCCATGTATTTGTACTGGTTGAAGGTAGCATGTTTCCCGGTGAATTAGTCGAGGTGGGCACAAGCTGGCCGGTACACCGCCATTATTGAAAGTAAAATGATTTCATCATTTATCTAATGAGAATTGTTAATGTAATAATTATTGGTGGTGGATCAAATGTTGTCTAAGTCTAACTTGGAGAAAGGGATGTTGCTTAATGAGGCATTTCACAACAGACGAAGCAAATGGGAAAGGCTTAGCGTGTCATGACTGAAGTCTGGGAAGGGAAGCATTTGGTTTGTAAGGCTTGAGCTATTTATTTACTTAATACTTTCTTTTCCTTATCAGAAAAAAGGGTTGAACTATTTATTCTGGTGGTGATCTCAACCTGAAGTTACTAAAACGTAACCATACTTCTGGTTTTTATTAAATTACTTGTCATATTTCCATATTCGTTCGATATCTGTGGCATGATTGCTAGAGTTATAGCAAATGACAACATGAAATCAAAATTGCATGTGCAGGAACTTTATCAAAGGTGCTCTTGCACATTAAAGCCCTTTGGTTTTGCTGGACAATTTTATTGTGCAAATTCCAACAGATCGTATAAAGTCCAGTTTTCAATCTCTAAAGAACTCATCCTTTGTGTGGCTGGTGCATGGGAAGCCTAATCTTGTCGTCAAGTTAAACAGACACCCAAGGTATTCTATAAATACTGTGGGATGATCGCGTGAGAATACAGCTGCCAGCTCGAGGAAGAAGTTGACAGCAGTATGAACGAAAATATTCAACATGGTTAAGGACAAGTCCATGGTCAACTTGTTGATTAAAGGCAGGTATGTTCCTGGGCAGTATGTTTTCCTTTGCGGTAACTTCTCTCGTTCATCTCACAATGTTTGATAAAAGTGTGTCTATATTACCCAGAAGGTTTTACTTCTGTTCGCTACATGTGCGGGACAAGTCCTCTTGTTCAGTCCGCAAGTAGCTACAAACTAATGTTACATTTTAGATGGACACAATAACATGCAAGGAGGAGGATGAATGACTGAGTCAAGATTTCTCACTCTAGGAAAAGCATGTTTTGGCAAAGAGAAAGATGTTGTCACTGTTTGTACTCAGTATTAGCTCTTACATGTTTGAAGTTAATTACGTGGAAAAAGACAGGATTAGTTATTTTTTTTGCTAAGACAGGATTAGTTGTTTTACCAATATCTTGTCCTTTTTATTTTTTGAAATAAAATGGCTAATATACGGATATCTTGTCGTTTGTTTGCAATAGCATTCATTTTGTTTACTTCTCTTTCTTAATAAGTTATTAGCCCAAAAAAAATTAATCTCATATTTTTTCCGATATTACTACTACTTTTTACACTGAAATATGCATGAACTTAGTATTCTTTGCTACATTTGGGGCGTTTTGTCATCCTTTCCACCCCTTGTCATTTTAGTAAATTGCAATCGCGACAGTTATGTGCAGCTATTTCCATGATTTGTATAAATACCTTGTATAAAGATTCACACTGTTTCTGTCACGAATAGTGAAACTATGTAAGTTTGTGAAAGTCCCTGTAAACTCTCGAAATGTATGGTCATTGTTGTAGATTAACTGTGTACTTCTTATCATCAGTTCATCACATATTTACAGTATTACATTTAGCAGTTAAGTGATTCTTAGCAAAATGTGATCCACTGGGGACACATTTCACTTGCTTGAGAGTGTCTGTTTGCATTTTAGGTATCACCGCAAGAACTAGAGGTAGTTCGAACAAGCTTGCATATGTTGTGATCGTGCATGCTGTATATGTTTAATTCGTTGATTGAGCCTCTCGTGATAGTGAAGCCAGTTTTATTTAGTGTATCTTCAGATCAAGTACAGATATAAACATCAGTTAACTTTCCATATATATCATCACTGCAGGTGCAGGGGGATTATCCTTTTTGCTAGTTACAAATTTTAAACCAAAAATGTAAGGCACAAAGATGAACACAAAATCTCTCATATTATAGGCTATATATGATGCTCTACATTGACAGTGCAGAAAAACTCTCATATTTGTTTGTGAAATTGTAACAAGGTTGGAAAGAATTCACTGTTAGTAAAAGGCAAACTGATTTGTCCGTCTTGAAGTCTTAGCATGGCTCAGATGATGATGGCATGGCTGACAATTCCTTTTTCTCATATGTTGATGATGTTTCTTGATCCGTTGGTTGTACTGGTTCATTTCCTAAAATCACTCCTGATTGCATTATATAGTGCCATTTTTGTTGCAGGAGATAGATGAACACGATAACAGCAATCTCAACAGTGAAAGTCAAGTTCCAAACACTTGTGCTTCTCAATGTTTTTGTGTGATAGGCCTGTAAACCTGTATATATGTTGATGATTCCCAGTAAAGAAACTGTGATTCCAAGAAGCCAATGAACTGAGAACCATATACTCCTTCCTTTGCTTCCCCTGTACAGAAAGAACAAAAAAACAGTACTAAACTGCAGAGATTAACCTCTCTGGTGAAATTATGGTATACATAATTTTTACACAAATAGCCTGCCGGATTCACTATTCACATTTCTTATCTGGTATGTACATAGATTATATACTGACATATTATATATGGCTTATATATGTTATACATCCTTAAGTTATTTTTAGTGTAAGCGGTTGGGTGCAGGGGCCCCTATCATAAAGCAAGTAAAGCAATTGCTTTAGGCCCCATATTTATGGAGGCCCCATTTTTTGTTACGCCTAATAGGTTATGTATACGTTTAAAAATAATCTGTGAAGTGAAAAAGTTCGTTTTCTTTCTTTAACAAATATAGAGAAGAAGGATTTGCAACTGCTCTGATTTTTGCAAAGAAAATTGCACTTGAAATAAATATCGAACCCGAATTTCGTATGAAACATGTGATGTATAGGAAGTAACAATTTGATGACGATGTTGATAATGAAATTTCCAGATCTTTCGATAAGTCCTTTAGAGGACGGGTTATTCACATTTCATTTGATGGTCACAGGCAAATTGAAAGTTAAGCAATGGGATTCCCCGGGGAAAAAATAGAGATGTCTCCTACGTTAACCATTGATTACTTTTATATAGTATACAAGGTTACTTTTTCACTTCAAAATATATTTGAACAATTCGAAGCATATGAAAATATTTTTGGTTTTCCATTTAGTGGTAAAAACTAAGATCACTAGATGATGGAAATTTGAAAAAATATTATCTTTAATCTTGAATGTTCCTTAAAGCATAATAATCAATTCTATATTGATGGTTTAAATTTATTTTTTTGAATTAAAAGTATTAAGGAAAATAGTACAATTAGAAAATAGTAGTAAATTGATACACTCAATCAAATAAAAAGATTTGATTCTTTTCCAAATGCCTATATTGCTTATGGAATAATGTTAATAACTCATGTTACCGTTGCTTTAGTGGAAAGAAGTTTTCAAAAATTAAAATTAATAAAATCTTACCTAAGTTCAACAATGTCTCAAAAGAGGTTAAATGGATTAGTTCAACAATGTCAATTGAGAAAGACTTATTAGGAGAAATTAATTATAAAAACTTATTAATAATTTTGCATCTAAAAAAGAGCTAGAAAAATAGATTTAAAAAATTAAGACCCCTTATAAAATTTGACTTTAGGACACAAAACTTGTTGACCGCCCCTGTTGGATGGACAGCTATTTAGGTTAATTTTTCTTACACATCATTACCTGTCAGGCCGTAAAAAGCCAGTGCCTGTTTGCAGCCATATGACACCATAAAGAGCTAAGCCAATCCTTTGATGATTATTTTTGAAATAGTTTTCAAAGCTTCTTATTGACATGATTGCTGCTGCTGTTACAAGAAGAAGAGATAGTACCTGGCAAATAACCAAAAATATAGTAATGAAATTCTATGCACTACTACATAATGATAAAATTGTACATGGACTTTCTAAAGCCAATGTGGTCAGCTATCAAGTATCACATGATAAAATAGACGGTTATACCTAACCTCATAATTAACTTGACTTGTGCTCATTTCTGGATAATATAAACTAAGAGAGCTAGTTGTAGTACTCAAAAATGATAATTTGTTCTTCCTTCTTTACTTTCCCACCAAGCATTCATCACTGCTATTAATCACACTTGAGCTCTTACTCTTTTTCAGTATCATTAGAGGTGAAAAGTGGGGTACTTCTATCTAATAAATAAGATTAAAATTTGTAATAATGACATTAGGTAACTGCTGAGATAATACTACTTGTCATACCAATAAAAGAAGTACAACTAGACTTTTCTATAACATATCGCTATATAATAGCCACTCACTATAAAAGCCAAGTTTTTTGTGGAATCTAATTTCATTTATAGTCACTCAACTATGTTTCAATTTACTAAAGTCACTCAACTATTTTTTGTCACTTAAAAGTAAGTAAACTTTCACATTGTCACTTAAAAGTCATTTTGGCTCAAATTCCTACCATAAATATGACATGACATAAAATTTAATGAGAAAAATCCAAAAATAAATGCCACATAAGCTTAAATGGATCATACCAACTTTAGATCCATTTCTTCCTTAATGCGATTTGACCATAACCCAAATGGGTTTCAATAGGATGAAAAAACACACATCCCTAATAAAATTAGGTCTTGTGATTTTTTGAAGGGATTTTTATCGTAAAAATACAATATTTCTTTTGTCTAAATAATTGCAATAGGTTGTCTGTAATTGCATGTTCATTGTGAAAATAGACTCTTATTAGCTTTATTATTATTCTTTTATGCTTATGATACATTAATATGTTATGTAAGATGAATACAATACTATATAATTTCACTAAAAAATTATAAATATGTTATGTGAGTTGGATACAGTAGTATTTTAACTTCAATAGAGTTATAAAACGACTCGGATGTGCATACAAACAAGGTAAGAATTTTTTTAGTATAGAATAGTTGTAAATGGGCATTATGTAACAGAAAAGGCAAGAATTCTGTAGTATAGGATAATTATTTTAAACTAATGTGAAATTTGATATTTTCTTTTATTGAAAGCATTTGGGTTATGAGTCAAATCACATTAAGGAAGAAATTGATCTAAAGTGGGTATGATCCATTTAAGCTTATGTGGCATTTATTTTTGTATTTGTCTCATTAAATTTTATTCCATGTCATATTTATGGTTGGGTTTGAGCCAAAATGACTTTTAAGTGACAATGTGAAAGTTTAGTTACTTTTAAGTGACAAAAAATAGTTGAGTGACTTTAGTAAAATTGAAACATAGTTGAGTGACCATCAGTGAAATTAACCCAATTTTTATGCTATATGTTATAATATATGTTCTCTATAACATCACTTAGCTATAATAGTCAAAAAAATTCGGAACAAATGAGATTGTTATAAAAATGTTTGATTGTATACTCTTCCAAGACTGCACAAAGGTTAATTACGACCTTTACCACATCCAGGGACAGGGATGAAAAGTGTTGGTAAGGGGTTCAGTTGAATCCCCTTCAAGAAAAATTATACTATAAAAAGCGGAATGAAAACGAAGTTTTTTTTTTTAGTTATATACATTTATATGTAAATAGTTGAATTCCTTTGACATAAGGAAGGTTCTATTATTATAGTGGCAAAAGGGGTAAATGTGACATTTTAACATTTTTCCGAATCCCCTTATATAAATTTTTAACTCCGTCATTGTCACATTCACATTCACTGTGAAACAAAAGATAAAAAGGACTAATTACCTGTAAAGTAGCATGAATATAAAGAATAATCTTTAGCCTTCTTCTACATTCTTGTCTATATGACATTCTTATTACAAGAATCCCAATAGGCATCAAGAAACCCATGGAAGTCCAGAGAAGAAATCCATGTAGCATAATTTGATATGACAACTCAGGAGTTAACTGAAATTTAAGATAACATAATTAGTTGCTGCATAATAATAAATGTATGAATAACCTCATGGATTATGTGTTTATAACTGCGTTGGTAAATAATCTTTTGTGTGTGATTTTGAGATGAGCAGATGAATGGTAGAAGAGCAAAAAAGAAAATTGCCATGTGAACAATGAAAACTACCAATTTCTATATGGGACTTACCATGTTGCGATCATATAATATGTACTGCTAATGCTACAAAAACTGAGAAGAAAAATGTCAAAGTGAAATGCTTTAGACAAATCACAAATGAAAGAATGTTTGGGCATAGTGTTTAGATTACTAGTTGTTTATGGTGTATATATATTTCATAGAGAGGAAAAGAAAGTAGGGACATGGGAGTTAGGTTGTGATTTCAACCTGGTGGGACCTTATGGCAGACTTTTCTTTTTTATGAAACAGTTCAATCCATTATTGATATTGTTCGATGTAGGTCTAGACTTACGACTTTAAAATCGATCATTAAAATTTGAGGTTTACATTCTTATATGTCCAATATCTCTCGTATCTTTTACCGATGTAAAATATGTGCCTAGAGTATTACAAACATCACCTCATAGGAATTCACTGTCCTCGCTAAGAGTTGCCTCATCATACTATGTGGGATTTGGAGTGGTTCTAACAACATATATAATAGTTTAGCCCACTAATAATATATTGCTATTGTCTGCTTGAACCTAGTTTTGTACGACTTTAAAGTTAAATTCGTATTTTACATGTAAGATTTGCCTTTAAAGTGTTCTGAATAATCTTCACATTATTACACTTTTGAGTTGGATAAAGACAGCGTTTGAGAATTTAACAGTAGAAGAAACGTGATTGCTGAACAGCTCTACATTTTTCACTTTTAAAAAAAAATTATTTATTATTTATATTCGATAATTGAAAAAATATATAAAATTTATATAATTTTTATATATAATATACAAAAAACAATATATTTTTTTGACTATTATCGTAAGAGTATCATTTTCCCTTTATAATATGGCCCCTCCATTATGACAGTATATACGTGCTTTATGTCTCTTGGATGTAGTTAGCTTGGACCACAGGATGTATTTATTGCTAAATCCTTAATTCGCATTACTAGTCTTGAGAAAATTAGAATCCATAACTAATAAGTGATGCAGTTTATGGCGAATTTAATTAATAAGATGTGTAAATTAATTAAGCGGACATATTAGGGAGTGGTCGATGAAGATTTACAATATTAAGTGGCTAGGAGACGCTAGCTCCAGTGGAAAAAGCCAAACGGAACTCGTATATAAAAATGAAAAAGAAAACCCTCTTGTCTCAAATTATGTGTTGTGATTTTTAAAAATAGTTATTTCAAATTATTTGTCATTTCAAAAGTTCAAGACTAAATTAATTATTTTTCCCCCTATTTTACCCTTAATATTAATTATTCTGCAAGACTACAAATATCTCAATTAATATATGAGTAAATATTAAATGAAGTGGTATTATATATAAATAAGGGTAAAACAATCAAATATCTCTCCTATTTACTCCCTTAGCTTTGTCTCAAAATTATCTGTCATGATTTTCTTATACATGTATCTTAAGAAAAATTAATTAGAATGAGATTTTGACTACTTTACCCTTATTCATATCTTAATATTTAATCTTTCTTCATTGGTATTTGAGCAAAGTTATCCATTACTACGGTGTTTGTAGTTTTTAACAATAATTATTATTAAGGATAAAAAAAGAAAAAAAATAGTAATCAATTTTGTCATGAACTTTTAAAATGACAAATAATTTGAAACAACTATTTTTAGTAACCACAATTAATAATATGAGACGGAGGGAGTAATATTTTTTTAAGAGATGCGTAAAAAAAATACAACGGATAATTTGAGACGGAAGAAAAAAAAAAAAGAAAAGCTTTATTCAGTTTTCTAGGGTTTCATTCAATCTAGGGTTAAGGGCAGTATCCAACCAATCATGCCGAAGAACAAGGGAAAGGGAGGAAAAAACAGGAAGAGAGAAAACAACGAAGCTGATGACGAAAAGAGAGAGCTTGTCTTTAAGGAAGACGGACAGGAATATGCACAGGTTCTTTGTATGCTCGGTAACGAACGTTGTGAAGGTATGTGTATTGATGGTAAAACACGTCTTTGTCACATACGAGGTAATATGCACAACAAGGTTTGGATCGCCGCCGGTGACATTATCCTTGTCGGCCTCCGTCATTACCCTGATTACAAAGCTGATGTAATTCACAAGTATATGCCAGATGAGGCAACGTTGTTGAAGCTATATGGTAAGTTTCCAATAGAGGTGGATCCAAGATTTCGAGGTTGCCACTCTTTATGTAACTCCAACATCTAACGAATAGAAAGGGCGGGTTAATTGATAAGGTTTTGTAACTCCGATTAGGCTAGGTTGATTAAGCCTTTTTTTCACATACATAAATATGTTCGATTTTATGTAGTTACCTTTTTTCAAGCTTAGATTTGAATTATACCATGAAAGGACGACGACAACAACAACCCAGTGAAATCTCACAAGTAAATTTTGGGAAGGATAATATATATGCATATTGTCTCGTGAGAAGGTAGAAAAGTTATTTCCGAAATATTATGAAAGGAAATTACAAAATAAATAAATAAATGAAAGAGCACCTCCAATTATAAAATTTGCTTAAAAATGGCCTAAATACTATTTTTAGAAAAAGGTGGCTAGGAGGTCCACTATACAGCAGGAATTGGCACATGGGAATGAATGATGACAATTTACCCTAAGTTGTTAAAATGTCACATTTAATCCAAGCAAAAATCGTCCACCTTGGTATGATGACCTTAATTAGTGGCAAAATTGCAACCAAAAGCTTAGATAGTTAAAGAATTATAAGATCAAAAATTTAGGTAGTTTCTCAGCTGAATAAGCTCGAGTAATTGAGAATCACCATTGTATGGCCTAACTAACCAATGGAACTATTGTTGGGTTTTGTTAATTAAAACAAAAGAGGTGTGAATGGAAAATGGTGAGAAAATAAATGGAGGGAAAAGAAATTTTGAGTTAGTTTACTTTACAAAGCAACTTTGACCCTCATTGGATAGGAAGAGGAAAGTTCTTGTGCTTATATATAGAAGCACTTCTTCTAACTCTTAAAGAGTTGAGAAGAGAGAAAGCTTCGCACCGTCGTCACCGCTCGACTTCAGCTTTGGCTTCGAATTTTGAGAAGAGAGCAAGTTTCGTGCCGTCATCGTCGCTCGACTCGGCTTCAAATTTGGATTTGGATTTGGTCAATTGATATGATTGATTGATAATTTTTTGGACCATATTTAGTTTTTATTTTCGTCATTTAATATTTTCTTTCTTAATATTTTTGGGCGAAAAATTATTAAATTCGCTGCACTTCCAAAGGTCAATTTCGCAACCAGCCATTCCGTTTAACAGAAATTCTGTCGAAGAGATACCTCTTCAATCGAACAGGCACTTTTGCACCTATTGGAACTCAACTCTGTTGGCTATAAAATAGAGACACTCAGCCTCATTTTTCACCACCGAAAATCTGAAAATCTCTCCCCACCATCTTCTGCATTCTGCATTATTTTTTTCAAAACAAAAGCGTAAGCATTTTATGTGATTTGCTCTGCCATTTGAGTTCGCCGAAGTTCTGTGATTTAAAGTGCAACTACCATAGAATAATTATTCTGTTCTATCCTGGAAAGAATTAATCCGAAACCTTGGGCAACTATGAGGGGATTAAATTACTTAAGGACACAAAAAAAAATTGTAATGGGCTCGAAATTTTTCTGTTTTATTTTCTTAAACTAACGTTTTTCTAGTTTTCTGGTTTTGAACACAAAGTGATAACAAGCTCAAGAAATTTAGTTTTATTTCTGTATTCATCTTACTTTCTTGTTTGAGAGACTTAAATCGTAGTAATTTTCTACTCCCATTTTTTAGATTAAAATCTTCGAATTTTTTCTACTCTAGTTTGAGATTAAAGTTTTTGCGACTTTCTACTCAATCCGAGATTAAAATCCTTGTGATTTTCTACTCGGTTGTTTGTATTCGGTTTGAAGATATAAAAACTTTACCGAGATACTAATTATGATGGTGTCAATTTCTTTTACAGAAAAATGACAACAAGTACGGAACAACAAAATAGGATCGAGATGATTATGAGTGACAGATATGGGATCGGACTGCACGACGCAATGGTTATACTAATTTATGATAGTGCTTGGGCTGAAGGAGTCCCTCTAAAGTCTGCACACACTCCCAGTGAGCGCGATTGATTATATTGAGGGATGGATCTTCCCTGGACATGGATCTTGTCCGAAGCATTTATATACCTGGGGATGGATCTTCCCCACGGGCTGAATTTGCCCCTACTTAGTATTGAGTGACTATTGGTCAGTTGATGTATATATTCCGGGATGGATCTTCCCTCGGCCGGATTGGCCATATACAGTACTGAGTGATTGAGCATGATTAATGAAAAGTGTGAAACAGTGAGATTGAGTACTCTGAGAGTGTGAGTACATGAGTTCATCTCTGAGATATATAGTATTGACATGCACACATAACATATAGGCATAGAGATGCATTTTTTCTCATGATGTACGGTATCACGTCATTCATGACTTTTCACACATATTGATATGTGGGCATAGAGAGGTATTTCACACTTGCTATCCGGAAAGAAAATGAAACATCTTATTTATTGTAGAAAGGATTTTTGAAAAAAATTACAGTTTTCAAACTATCTTATATTTTTCAATGATTTCGTTAAAGAATTTGAATTTTCACTGATATACTTAAAAAGCGGAACTATTTACAGGAATTATGAAAAAGCCGAGCATTTTAAATTCCGAGTTACCTTTTTTATTACTTGCTTTACAATATTATGAACTGCTGTTGCTTATTGGTGTTGGACCCGACCTATGCTCCAGCTCGTCACTACTTTCAACTTAAAGTTAGGTTTGTTACTAATTGAGTACATGAGGTCGGTTGTACTCATACTAGACTTCTGCACCTTGCGTGCATATGTTGGTTGTTGTTGTTTCTGTGTTCGATGGGAGCTGGATTTGATGATGTACCTGCGATCCTGTTGTAGCTGCCTCTTGTTCATGGTAGCCTTAGATTCATAAAACTCTGTTTATGTACTTTTTAGACAGATGATGTATTTACTTCATGCCAGCTTTGTAAACTCTATTTTTAGATACTCATGATTTGTACTACCAGTCCTTGAGGAATTGTAACGACCCAACAGGTCGTTTCATGAGTTAAAGCCCCGTTTTCCCTATTTCTGCTTCTTTTTGTGTCCATCAGCTAAATTATGATGTCTCGGGTCTGGAGTGGTTTCAGAGAGGATTTGAGACACTTAGTCTCTTTTGCGAAGGCTTAAGTTGAAAAGTTGACCGGATATTGACTTATGTATATATGACCTCGAATTTGAATTTTGATGGTTCCGTTAGCTCCGTTAGGTAATTTTGGACTTAGGATCGCATCCGGAATGTGATTTGAAGGTCCGTGGTAGAATTAGGCATGAATTGGCGAAAGTTGGAAATTTGGCGATTTTGGTCGGCAATGAAAATTTTGATATCGGGGTCAGAATGGAATTCTGGAAGTTGGAGTAGGTTTGTGGTGTCATTTTCGACTTGTGTGCAAAATTTGGGGTCATTCGGACATAATTTGGTAGGTTTCAGCGTCGTTTGTGAAATTTGAAAGTTTAGAAGGTCTTAGGCTTGAATCCGAGGGTAATTTGGTGTTTTAATGTTGTTTTGAGCGATTCCAAGGTTCGACTAAGTTTGAATAATATTATGGAGTGTGCTGGTATGTTTGGTTGAGGTCCCAAGGGCATTGGGTGAGTTTCGAGTGGTTAACAAAACATTTTTGGCCTTGAAGAGACTGCTGTTTGCTGCTGTATTGTTTTTTACTAGTTTCCTTATACACGATCGCATGAGTGCATCCGCGATCGTGTAGGCTTATTTGGGGCAGAGGTGAAGTTGTTCTACACGATCGTAGAGTTAGGGATGCGATCGCGTAAGTGTGTGATGTAGTGCTTCGCAAACGCGTGGCCAGTGTCGCGTTCGTGTAGAAGAGATTGAGCTGAAGAGGAGCTGAGGTGATTGCTCTACGCGATCGTATGAGGCATGTTGTGATCGTGTAGGTCTGTGTGGCATAGGTTCGCAAACAGGCTGGCCCACCTTTTAATTGGGCTGAATGCCATGGTTAGGCCTTGTGCCAGAGCTGTTTGGACCCTTAGGGGCCTTTTTCTTACTATCCTCTTACTATTTTCTATTGAAAATCTATACTCAGTCATGGCTATACTTATTTACTGCATAACTCAGTTATTACTACTCTGTTTGATGCATATAAATGTTGTTTTGGGCTAAGTACCCTTTTTTACTAAGAGCCCCAGTGACTTGAGAGGTTTATGACTGAGTGAGGCTGAGGGCCTGATTTGTGAGGATATTTATGGGATCGGTCTGCACGTCGCAACATGTTTTACTAATTCATGACTGAGTGAGGCCGATGGCCTGATTGATTTATGCCATGATTTGTCTTGTTATAACGCTTGGACTGAAGGATCCCCTTCGGAATCTGCACACACCCAGTGAGCGCAGGTGCCTACTGAGTGCGAGTGCCGAGTGCTGAGTGACTGGGAGGCATGAGTGATGGTGAGGTATGCCCGAAGGGCTGTATACAGGTGACTGTGAGGTTTGCCCGAGAGGTTGTATATGAGTGATGTTTTTGCCCGAGGGGAGGTTTATGATTTCATCATTTTTCTCACCTTTACATTGAGCCTTTGTTTGAAAACTGTTGAAAAATATCTTTAAATGATTTTTATCAGAACTGGGTTTAAACGAGGTGGTTTGATTCAAACCCCGATTTTAAAAGCATGTTGTATTTTACTGAACTTTCATGATATAAACTTTAAATGCTTTACTGCTCGTCACTACTGCTCAGCCTTTATTTATTGTTGCTACTTGCTGAGTTGGCGTACTCACGTTACTCCCTGCATCTTGTGTGCAGATCCAGGTGTATCAGGACCCGGTAGCGGCTGTTGACTATTCTAGTTGTAAATCTTCTCGGAGTTATCAAGGCAGCTGCTGGCGATCGCAGCTCTGCTCTTCTCCCTCCTATCTTCCTATAGTTTTTTGTAGTTATTTTCCAGACTGTGTTAGTCTCAGTATTTCGGTAAAATTGTCGTAGATGCTCATGACTAGTGACACCCCGATGTCGGACTTTTCTTTCCGCACTCTCATTGTTTAGAATTTCTTTATGAAGTTTTATTATTAAATA